ACAAAAGAAAATTTCACGTTGAGACGTGTCAATATTGTTTATTCTATTAAGGTGGGTTTCCACTACACACGAAAAATATTCAGCTATGTCCAACAACACGGTATCGTGGTTAATCATGTGGTAACTGTTCCTAACCAACCCGGTCACAGCAAAGGATTTGTATAGATATATCTTTAATCATGGTGGAAACCCTCTTTTATAATATTTATATTTTTTTACGACATAGTCCAATGTTATCGGCGAATAACTAGTGCCATCTGTAGGTGTTCAGTTAACTCAGAGTAAATTATTTTATTTCCTAGAGTGTGCTATATGAACTATATCAGTTCCTTCAAGATAACCAATGTGTTATTATAATATTTTAATTTGTATATTATAATATAATAATAACTATTATAGGTATTAGGTAAACAATAAACATATATTTGTTATATAAAACTGTCAAAGCCAAATACCACCTTCTCATTCATCGATACATCCCACAAACTATAAAACGTAGAAACTTGAATTTGGAATAGTAATTTCTCTAATGATCTTTTTTTTTTTATTATTTGACAAACAATCTATACTATTGTTAGCGCAATAAGCCTATATGATAAAATTAAAATAATATAATAACATGAAGGTTGTGAATAAGCAGCCACCCATTAGTGGCTCTTGACTATAGAGTAATTATTATTATTTTTTTTTTCTAGAGACATTAGACATTAAAGTTTTGTAGAATGTCACGGCGCCACTTTCTTTTTAATCTGCTGTTAGGATTTTCTGGGACTGTAAGAATGGAAATATCTTCTATGAGAGAGTTTGGATGGGTTTGAAGTCGTTCATGGAAACGGGTGTAGAAAATGTGTGCTTCGGTTTCTATTGTTCGCGCATGGAGATCGTTATGAAGGGCTAGGTTAGAGACATAGGGTGGAGCATTGGATGATCGTCGGAGCGATATATTTTGGAATGTCTAATGATCTAGTTGTACAATAAGGAAGGATGTTCCGATATTCGCATTTTAAAGAGGTAGTCAAACGGGATCTTGAGATTCACGGTGGAAATTAATTTTTTTTTTTGTTTATAAATGGTTGCCATTGTTTACACGGGCAATCAGGTACAAGCATGCATACAATTATCGTGATTATGGCCTCGAACTAAGGAACCTATATCTTAAAACCAAATGTACCTATGTGTGTACTTACCTTATATATACTCAAAAATTCTCAATTGAATTGTACGAAAGTCTCAAAGATTGTTTTTAGAGATATCGGAAAAGTTTAGAGAGTAAGTAGTTTAAACCACGATAAAAACATACCAAGTGCTAAATCCAATCCGTATTGCCATTCTAGGATAAATTATTACACTGCAAAGCTAGGTCCACTAAAGCCGATTTGTCTGTAAACTAAGGTACACTAAAACTGAGAAACATCTATATAGCATGTATATTATACTATATAGGATTTGAAAAAAAAAACTGCACACGGGAGAAGCCGAGATATGCAGCTAGTAATATATACTAAAAAGACAAACTACATAGGTACGATTCAAACAACAATAATTTTGTTGATGACAATCATTATTGGTCTGTTCTTACAAAATTTAAAATATACCTATGAATTAAATGTTTTTGATGGATTATAAATAAAGTATTACGAAATATAATTAATTAGGAAATAAGAAAACTATTAGAAGATAAATATCCGATTATGACATTATTAATTTTAGTTGTTAGTATCTAATGAATTTCGCATCCAATATTATCTAAATTGTTGATACCTAATACTTAAATTTGTCAATAAAAGCAATGCATAGGTTTAGTATAAACTGTAAAAGTAAAACACTATTAATTAGAGATTCAAGAGTCAACGATAAATTACATTTTATTTTGAAGTGCATATTCAATACAATTTTGTAAGTAGTTATTTATAGGTTACTGTTACTAAAGACGTAACTATTAATATTTAAATTGAAATGTAAAAATATAATTTCATAGTTTTATTCTATTGAATATATAAAATATTTAAATTTTGGAGAAATCTAAGTGATAAATCATATTATTAACTTATATAAATGTTTTTTAAATTCATCAGTACTAGGTAAAATATTTTTACGACTAAAATAAAATATTATTTATAACTGTAATTTTCATTGTGTTTTTGATAATTACTATTTTGAAAGAAATTAAATATATCCTCGGCCCTCAGGGATATGCGGCTGCTTAAATAACTCACTTTTTTTATTTCATTTTTGCAACAGCTAGTGGGCCTTAAGTACCTAAGCATAAACGACGGAAATTTATTACAATAGTGTGTACATATTTTCATTTATTTGTGCTCGAAAAAGCAACAAGTAAATTATTAATCATGAAACACGTTTTTATAACGTCGTAATGTAAATTCCCTTAGATATTAATTTGACTTCAGAACGTTTATAATATACGTTATAATAATGTAGCAGTTGTATTAAATAATAAAATACGCTTAAACAGAATTTCTACAAACTGACAATTGTTTATTTTATAAAAGTTGGACTTCATATTTTAAGTTAAAGTTTCAAATTTAATTTTTTTCAACCATTTGTCGATTTACTTGGCAATTGTTTTTTATTGGCGGAAAACGTTTAATCAGCATACACTACCTACTTATTACTCGACAGTTTATCGAGTTTACCGACTTATTGTCCAGTGATAAAATATAAGAATTACATCCTACTAAACATTATAGTTATAACTTATAAGTACTTTTATTGAATTAAGCAAAATCTACCCATTTTCTGCAGTCTGCATGAGAAAATTATGAACACTGTAGTAATAAAAATGTTATGACTTTATAGTTTATTAAATGCATGTCAGGGGCCAATCTGCGTCACAAGCGAAGAAAAATACTTTTGAAACATCCAAATTGTATACCTTGTCTAATGAAACAAAATATATTTGGGTTAGTATTTTATTAAAAAAAAAAAAATATACACATATGTTTAAACATGAAATTGATATGTTACCAAAATCCGTTTAAGACTATAGGATTACTTACTTTAGTATATTATTGCCTATACGCGTTTTTTCGTCACTTACATTTAATTAAAGCGTTTGGTGAATGTTGCCACATCCGGGCTTAATATTTGTTCTATACTGAAAAAAAAATAGCAAACCCATTAAAGCTCACCAAAAAGAGGTCACGTCAACAAAATGATGAAACTGACATTCATTATTTACAGACTATAGTAAAAACACTTAATATAAGATTTAGAAAAATACAAAATGTCATTGTTTGAACAAAAACATCAATGCGTACAATTAGTAGGTACTAGGTATATAAGCGAAATACTCATTTGAAACCAAAGCACAGATTTCATTATTAATATAGGATAAATATGTGTTTTTAAATATTTATTTTGTAAATATTATTCAGTCAATTGTCTAGGGCTTGAAACCGGTATTGGCGGTATTCAATACCAGTCAGTTTTTAACATAGATAAAATCCATTGCAACCCGATATCGATATCGAACCGATATAAAAAAATAAATTGTCTGGGGGGCCAGATAAAAATAGTCCACGGAATGCCATTGACCACTGACACAGCGTATACTACTAGCTCTCAAGATTTCATTGAAAAATCATGTTTACATACCTTATACCACTTAACCACGTAAACACCCCAGTAATTGGTGCTTAAAAAACTTCTCTCATTAACTTGGGTCAGGTCAGTCTTCCTGACATCGTATGTTAAGGATTTAAAAGAATATAAATTCAATCTCTACTTATGAACATCATTCTGAATCGTAGGTATTAAAAATTAAGCGGTATATCGTTGTTTTAAAATTTAAAACAATGTTTAAGATATAAAACAGTTCGGCCGCAACATTCAGTATGAATCCACGTACTTCACTTTGTTCGGCGTATCGCTCCGTTATCTCTGTGAGCGCTCGCCAATTAACATTATGCATATTTCAGTCAACATTAATTATTTGTTTTTATTATAATCTTATAATGAACAACATCGCCCGTAATCCGGGCCTCGTTTCGCCACGCACACCCAATCCGTCTAAAAGAAATTTGTCCAATTCGTCGCTGACAAAAAACCAAAAGTTTATATAACACCAAATCGTTTTGCCGTACTCGCCACAAATGACTCCGGCGACCAAAAAGCCGCAGCCATGTCCGCATCCAACTCGATGGACGCTCCTCGAGCGAACCAGCCTCACACCGTTCAGGTCAGAAACCCGGTCATTCCACCCATCTTTATTAAAAACATAGCGAACTTTTCCGCTTTCAACAACAATAAAGACATTCACGACATTACATCGCTACTCAACAATAAAGTTAAGATCGAGAAACCGCATAAAAAGAGCAGCCCTCCGAAATTTCATAACTACCAATTATACGGACACACGAAAAATGATTGCCACCATAAACCTAGATGCGTTAAATGCGATGAAAATCACCTCACGGAAGACTGTTCTAAAGACTGCAACAGTCCCGCCAAATTTGCCCTATGCAGTGGGGACCACAAAACCAACTTTAAGGGAAAAAAGCTGCCCAGTATATAGGGCAGCTTTCCAAAAAGCTGCTCCAAAAATTCCTCCAGCTAAGCACCCTGAATTCAAAGCTCACTCCATATCAAAATCTTACGCAGAAGCCACCAAACAACAACAAAACTCACACACAGAAAAATTCACCGACACCTGTTTCAAGTTTATATCTAATTTAAGCTCATTAATCAATCCTCTTATCTCCCTACCTTCCACTGTACTAAATACTCTCATTGCCAAAGGCATTAGGTATTTCCCCATAATTATATTTGTTCGGATTTCCGATTAAATCTATACATTAAATCACATATACTATAGTTAGATGAGCTAATAGCTAATATTTATATTAAATATATACATTATGTTAATTTAAACTACATTGTAATAATATTAAGTGTATTGAAGAAATTAATTTGAATAAATGAAAAAAAAAAAAAAAAGATATAAAACAATAATGTAATGTATGTTATCAAATTATTTATCACTATAAAGCAGTCGCTTCCTTATCAATTTGAGCATAACCGCGTTCAGAACTACTCAAAGTTCTCGAAATAAATGCAATTGGTTTCTCAGATCCATCTGGTAGTTTATGGGACAAAACCGCTCCAATCCCAGTCGGGCTAGCATCACATGCTAATATGATAGGCCATTTCGGATTGTAGTGAATTAATATTTCTTTAGATAATAACGCTTTTTTAATACCGTCAAAAGCTTTATTTTGATCATTGCCCCACTCATATGCAGTATTATTTTTTAACAATTTGTATAATGGGTTTGCTATTGTCGACATGTTCTTAATAAACTTACCATAATATGTAACTAGTCCTAAAAATGCCTTTAACTGAGAAACATTACAAGGAATAGGTGCAGCTGTTATAGCCTTAACTCTCGTTTCTGGAACATGAAGTCCATCCTTATCAATCTTATACCCCAAGAAAGTTACACTATCTTTAAACAATTTACATTTCTCTTTCTTAACAGTAAATCCCACTAAACTCAATTTACTTAACACCTCTTTTAGTCTACTACATACTTCCTCTTCTGATTTACCAGATATAATAATGTCATCATAAAAAGCTACTGTACCATCAATATCTCTTAATACATTTTCCATCTCACGCTGTAAAATACCAGGTGCAGATGCTATACCATATGGTATGCGTTTAAAAACATATAGCCCCTTATGAGTTGATAACGTAGTTAACTTTTGAGAATCTTCATCTAATAATAATTGTTGATAAGCTTGACACAAATCTAAAATACAAAATTTTGATGCTCCTTGCAACGTAGCCATCAAATCACTCACCCTCGGAATCGGGTATCTATCTACTTTAAGAAATTTGTTCAAAGTTACCTTATAGTCCCCACATAAACAAATAGTGCCATCCCCTTTAACTACTGGAACTACTGGGGTAGCCCACTCTGATGTCTCAACAGGAATTAACAATTTCTCATTAATGAGTCTGTCAATTTCATTACTTACTTTATCTTTTAAGGTAAAGGGTAAAACCCTTGGTTTACAAAATACTGGCTTAACATTATCGTTTAAATATAGTTTAAAAGTTTTTGGTTTATAACATCCTAAAACTGTACTAAATACTGAAGAAAATTCTTTAAAAATACTATCATGACTATAAGATGTAAGTGAATAAACTTTATCTGTTAACGGTATAGACAATCTATCAATCCAATCCCTACCAACAATAGGCGGACCACCTCCTTTAATTATATATAATTTCAAGTCTTGAACAACATGGTCTTTGAATAACACTTTTACTCTTAAAAAACCTACTGGTTCAATTAATGTACCAGTGTATCCTTTTAAACTAATATCACTATTAATTAAATCTTTGGTCTTAAATTTAACTTTCATAAATTCATCATACGATATAGCTGTAATAGAGGATCCGGTATCAATTTGAAAATTTATTAAATTTCCACCCACATTCAATTTAATATTAAATGGCTTAATAAAATTACAATCAACAGAATCTAAAAGATATATGTTATCCATAACATTTAAGTCACCAAAATCATCATTTAAATTATTATTCACTTGTTCCAATAAGTTAACATTACTCTTTTTAATTTTACAAACTTTTTTCAAGTGTCCAACTTTGGAACAATTTGAACATACAAGTGATTTATACTTACAGTTTGGTTTAGTGTGACCAACAACACCGCAACAAAAACACACAATCTTGCCAGACATACCCTTCGATGACTCCTTCTTTTCGGTTTTCAGTTTTCCTTTGCCCCAGTCCTTCACTGATTTGTTGTTTTTTGTCTTCATGAATTTCTGATAGTTCAACTCTTGACTTTCCCATTTTGATACATCTTTATCTGCAGCTTCCATTGATAAAGATAGCTCCACACTTCTTTTGAATGTCAACTTCGTTTCTGACAGCAAACGCTTTTTAATATGAACATCCTTGATACCATAAACTACTTGGTCCCTTAGCGAGTCGTCCAAGTTTACACCAAATTCACAAAATTGTGAAAGTTTTTTTAAAGATGCAACAAACTGGTGTATTGTTTCCTCAGATCTTTGCTTCCTCTCCTTGAATTTATATCGTTCCGTGAGCAAGTTTGGTTTCGGGTTAATATAATTTGACAACAATTCTTTTAATGAGTCATATCCCTTATCGATAGGCTTACTAGGTATACATAGGTCTCTTAATAATGAATAGCCGTCGTTACCCAGAAATGTAAGAAACATTAATTTTTTCTTATGCACGTTAACCTCATTTAGTAATATAAATAATTCGAATCTTTCTACCCAAGCACTGAAATCGTCGTCTTTAATGTTAAATTCCGAAATCTGACCAGTTAGCCCTATGCCACTGTTTCCGTTAGATCTATTACCACTGTTATTACTTGCAGCCATCTTGACCTTTTCAGACTTTTGCGAAGTGTTTTTTCTTTAATTAAAGAAATTACTCACGTGGTTTTCACATCCCTTCGTCGCCAATGTTATGTTTTGTCAGGAACGCACAAGAACACAACACGGAGGTTAAAATACGAATGAATCTTTATTATACATTTTTGAGGTTATGTAATAAAGTTATAGTGATAAATAATTTGATAACATACATTACAAATAATATGCTCAACGATTTTCCGTGATTATAATAAATTTCTCTCTATTTGTGTGTAATGTGCATACTGTATAATATAATAATGAATTATCAAACTAATAATAATAGTTTGTATTTTGTATCCTGCAGTGGTACATCTACACCAGATAATTACAAGTTGCATGACAATATTACAAGATGAGTTCGTTAGATAGAACTAAAAGCCTAACTTTTTTTTTAAGACAATACGGTGAAATTAGGGCAATACCATAATCGACAAACCTGGTCAGTTGCAAAAATGAGAGCTTATGAGTTATGAGTTATGTTTTATCATAATATTATAATATCTGTATAGCAAACAGCAATCGTTGGAGACTAGCTATACCTACTAACGATTTCAATAATTGCAATAATCAGATTGTAGACATGGAAAAAAATAGTAATAAGCCAACAACAAACGAAAAGTCGTAAAAGCGTAAGTAAGTATGTGCTCACACATTTAGTTTTCTTCAGGTTGTCTTAATAAATCTCATACTTATCTTCATACTTCGAGTTCGAAGGGGTGAAGGAGACGCAAGCTTCAATTCCCTCGATGGCCCACCGGTGGTTCACCGCACTCTATATAGGGCATCACAGGTTTCGCCGGAAGTAAATATTAATGCTAGTTTTTTTCCTACTCTTTTGAGAACTTAACCTAAAAGGTCCTAGAAATTAGAGTATTAAATATTTAAATGTGTGTAATATAAACATACACACATAACACATACACACATACACACTACATGCATAAACACATACACAATTGTACATCAGTAAGCCAAGTGAAATTTAAAATGTAGTATTTTATTTTAAGTAGTTGTACATTTTCTTCGAAACCAAAAGTTTCTCCCTCCCTACTCCTCATCACTCACTCATTACATGGTGTTCAGGTCTAAGGGCAGAGCGAAGCGCATAAATTTAATTACGAATGAATAATCGTCTCCTCGTGCGCTGAATGGGAGTTAAAGTCGTGGAGGCGCTGACGGTTTCTGAGTGATTAAATGAACATTAAATTAGAAAAAACCAAGGAGCTCGCTCCACTGTTTAGCAGGTTTAAAGCGTATCTCATCAATGAGTAAGCCACTGTAATGGATATGTTGAGTTTGAATTCAATGATAAATCATTGTATATGAAGAACGATATTGAATGAAGAAAGTGTCAGTCTCTATTTCTAACTTCTAAAGTATATAATATATTATAATAGCTGCGATCAATTATTTGTTAAAATGTCAAATCTCAATAAAATAAAAATATAATAATATATTACTATAACAATTTTTATTTTATTAGATTAAGGCTTCCACGGCTGAGGTCATTAGCCTGTAAAATTGGTAGGGTTAGTAATGTAGGGTTGGGATGGCTGATATGGTTGGTTAGCAACACGTGCAAGGGTTTTGCCAATATAAACCCGGGTGGTCACCCATCCGGGAACTGGAGGCAGCGGAAGTGGCTTGTTCTCATCCACGTTGCGTGATTGATTGTAGCCACCGCGCCATGTCTTGCCACTATAATTGATTTGTATTACAATAAAACAAAATTGGTTAAAATCACACTTACCCGAGATATTTAAAAAAACTTATTTTATTAAATCCTACTATCTATTTGGAACATACATTCATATATCTACAGGCTACAGTGATTATATTCTATAGTTCTTAAATCACTATTGGTTTTGAGTACCACTAAAAACCATTAATACCCGAAATTAAAATAGGAAAAAATCAATACCGGTATTCGAAACAAACTGAAAATTTGATTCTGATATTCAAAACTAAAATTAAAATCTGCTAAAATGTGTGTCTATTATAATACTATGTAGGTTAATATTAAGACTAGAAGAATAATACCAGAAAACTATATTAATTTTATCCGATGTTTTTATGATATGTGTGGTTATAATTTTCAATGATATTAAAATATCGTCTGTAGCGGTTTTTAATATTTTGATGTGATTTATTGATGAGTACCTAGATGCATTACAAAATTATAAAAAAAACGTAATTTTAAAATATATTACACACCGCCTTTTATGTAATGCTTATAATTAAAAGCTTACATTTTAGCTAAGTGAATACTGTGACATTATTATGTTAATTACAAAAATAAACGTAACCATAATATAATATAATAGTATTAAAATATGATAAATAAAGTTATAGTGTGATTAAAATAGTTTTAAATATAAAGTTGTTTATAGTTCGAGAACTAGTTAGTTTATACGTTTTGTGCATTTTATATTATAATTTAAAAATGTATATATTGTATTTTAAAAATGCATATAGACAAAAAGGAATACTGATGTCAATATGAAAAATCACCTTTTTTAAACTTTGAGACGTCATAATATGTACATTTGAAAAATTAAAGTTGCCTATTGTACAAAATCGCTTTATGCTTTACGTTCTGCAGTAAACATGTAGTAATAACTTATTGTATTGGTATTTTAGTCCATGCGAGAAGAGCAGTTTCATTCCCTAAATTATGCATAATAATTTGCATTACCTAAGGTACAATGTAATAATATTACTGTCATCATTGAATTTGCGTGTGCGTTCCACTGAATGCTTGGAAGTTGGAGTGCGTGTTTCGAACGGACCTAGGCACGCCTTTATACTGTATTGATAAATCTTCATTATTTTTATAATCGGCATTCGTAATGCTACTTACTATGGGTTAGGTTCGCTTAAGCTTGGAGGAGTTGTAAACGTTTAAGTATCGAGCAGAATTACGGACGGTGGTACGGTGGTACGGTGGTACGGTGGTGAAAATTAATATACTATACTCTAGGCTTATGACAAAGTAGGTAGGTATATTATATCTAAATCTATACACATAGACAATAATATGTGTCCTATCAAATGTATTACTAATAAATGGAGATGCATAGCAATATAATGATAGACGATAATATTCTCCATTCAGGATATAGATCAACAAGATAACATAGGTATGCATAATATGATATTACCATATTTTACTCCATGCATCTCCAAACGTGTGTGTTCAGCCTTGGGATTTCGTCAAAATATCATATTGAGACAAAATAAATATAAAATATTTTGTAATTGGATAAGAGCTCGAAGATTAATAATCACTGATTATAAAGTATACAATATAAAATATTTGTTAATATTACAATGTGCTTGTGAACTATTATTACACCCAGTAACTGTCAAAACATAAGTAAATAATATCCTTTTAATATACTATAATCCTTAGTATGTAATGTAGAACAAGTCAGAAACTTTTCGTTCAAACATCGATTACAATGCGTCAAAGTTTTCAGGACATATCATCTAGTTCATAATTTACATTAAAACTTGTAGGTTTTAATCTAAAAAACCAATGATTGTATCATCACAGGATACTTCGTAAATCTCACGAAAAATCAGAATATTCTAAAATATGGTCTTTAACTACACTTTTTTTTATTTTTTTAAGAAAATTTGCAATCTGTACAATTTTCACAATAAGTAGATATAATAACTGATATAATACTATATACATACATATAGAACACATAAAGCACGTGATGAGGGAAACCATCCAGCGATGGTACCCTCCAGTAAACTACACTTAAAATTAAAAAATTCAGAAATTTAATATATGCATATAAATGGTAGCATGATTAAAAATCATGTGTAAATTCGAAAATATATTATGACATTGTAATAATGTTTCTTTGAGAATAATGATATTTTTTTTTATTAACATTTATTAGATATTAAAAACTTACTGTTTTATAGGTACTATATTTTGTAAAAAAAAAAACGTGTGTGCATCCATATTTCAATATTAAACTGTATTTAACTATATTATAATAATACGAAATTAAATTGTACAAATATCCAGATAATATAAGGTTAAACAAAAGAGCAAAAATAATTTTTGTGTCATATAGTGTGCACCTTGTACTAAAAAAAATATAGGCATGTATAATATTTAATATTTTAATACCTACCCCTTTGCTAAAAATTTTAGTACATATAAAAACCAAGTTGATCCACAAATGATTGACTATTATGTTATTTATAACTTTACAGTATTGTATAAGTAAACATATTGCAAATATTTCTCAAAATAAAATAAAGAAATAAATGTCTTTAAAATTATTTTTACACCAATTAAAAATAAAGGGAACCTACCTTGTCGATAACTAATTAATAAAAGTTTACATTTGAAAATAAAATCTTGTAAAAAATATTTAAATTAAAATATGAATAATGTCACAGTTTTTTCATCAAAAGTTAAATGTATTCCAATGGGAAATTTTTTCCTCTGCAAATATTAATCATTTTTTAATTCTTTTTTTACAAAACCTATCGACAGACATTACAATACCTGTATTATTCATGTATGAATATTTTACACCATCCAAATACGTTTTCCACTTTGTTTTGAATAAATAAAAGAAAATACTTAAAAAACTGGTAAGTGGATGTCACTCTGTTGTACAGTAGGTTACCAGTGGGTAAATGTATAATGGATTGTATTAAACTTGAATTCAATGATATAATATCATTGTATAAGAAAAACGATTCTGAGGGGAGACGATTTGTCAGTCTGGGTATTGTATATTTTTATTTATATAGATTATATAGCCTGTAAGTTATAATATTATTATTTTTCATTCGTTTCCATGGTGATAAACAAAGCGCGTTAGAAATTAAAATCCTGTTTTTAGAGGTTTTTCGTAATTTCTCGGTGGTTTGACCGTGGCATTAAATAACTATTGACAAAAAATTACCTCTTTAAAGTATTATTTTGATCC